TACGAAAGGTCCTCCAAGAGCTGCTGAGCCCAGGGGTTGGCCTCGGGGTGGAGGGCCTAGTCATCGTTGATCGTGTCGAAGCCCCCCATGGACCCCAAGATACAGGATCTGACCTGTCGGTGCGCCTCAGGAAAGCGCGCCCAACTCTGTAACCAACCGAGACGACGCATCCTGAGCTCCTCCGAAGTCGGCAGTATCTTCCAGTACTCCCAAACGCCTTTTGAAGGCCATCGTCGGATCCCCCCCTCACCCCCCTTGATGGCCCCCTGGAGGCCCAGGCCCCTGCGCATGGCGAGCAGTAGCGCACGGTCCGCCTGCTCACAATAGGAGGCGCCGGGAACACGTGCCTCCATGCCCGAGAGTAGGGCCGCCTGCACGAGAGCGATGATAGCCGTTCTCTTGATGGCCCTGGCTGCTGGCTTTACCAGAAAGCAAGAGATGAGCCCCAGGCCGTTTTTGCCCGCCAGGATACGCTTCGTCTTTTCCACGGCCAGGGGCCCAATCGACGTCAGCCAGCCTCCTAGGATTCTGATGTGACGGCCCTTAATTCCAGAGATAGCCAAAACTCCACTGTGCCAGAGTCGCATTTGTCTGATAACTTATACATCCTCTACCGAAAACCCTAGCGAGCGCGACCCTCTTCTCTGGGTTCAAAGAGACGCCGATCTCGGCAGAAGCTGCGCGCAGGTGGGAACTGCGCGATTCCGCCAGCGCCGCGAGGGGCGCCGCCTCGTTCACGTTGGCGCATGGCTCTGGTCCCCACTCAGGAATCACCAGCATCGCAATGTCGTGGACCAAAACCGCCATCCCTACGTCGCTGGAGTTCCCGTCGATCTCGATCGCCTCGGCGCGCAGCCCCGAAGACGCCCTCGAGCGAATGTCGTGAAATCGAGCGAGCCCTACCTCGTAGAAGTACGGGGACGCCCTCGCTGGGTTCGCATGGCCCATCATTTCCCCCGTCGATGGTCGAAGAGTGATAGTACCTGTCGGCGAATCGATCTGAAGGGCTCCCTGGACGGTTCGACGACGTTGAAAGCCGAGATCTTCGGGTCGAAGCAAGGAGGGGAGGACCTCGAGGATGGTGTTTCTGTTGGTGCTCGCGAAAGCATTCGTGGCATCCTCGTTCACGGCGGCGTGCGATAGGCCCTCCTGCTCCAGACGCCAGGACGCACAAGCTTGCGCTGCGATATCATCTTCGCGTCGTCGTCTGCGAGCGAAACCGCGGCAGTGGGGGGGCAGGCTCCGGCGCACCTCCTTGCCGCGGTGCCATAGGTGGGAGTGCCGCGCTCTGCCCATGGGACGGAATAAATGAATCCACCTCGACCCTGCTGGCCCAGGCTTGCCGTTGCGCTTGTCCAATCCCAGGCGCGACGATATGTCGAGAAGCAGCGGCGACTGATGTGCTCTCCGGAAGCGTGCGATGATGTCGACCATCCTCTCCAAGAAGGCGGTCGCCGTCGAGGGGCGCTGGCTCGCGCCCACTCCCCCCCGCGTGAAAGAGCCCCACGCCGCCTCGTCCAGCAGGAGCAGCCATAGTTCGGATGGCATCGACCAATGTGGGCAGGCGCGGCGCTTCGGCGAGGATCGCAAGACCGCGAGCATGCCCTGCGGGTCCACCTGGGCCTGCTCGAGATGAACGAGCTGCATCGTGTCGTACCTCACCTGGTCCGAGCAGAAGTCCTTCTCGTCGTCGTAGTGTGCTCGGTCGAAGCGCTCGACTAGCTCCGCCCGCAGGTCACATGGGGTTCCCGCCCATGCCACCCTCCGAGGCCGCCTTCTGCAGGGGCGCACTGATCTGCTCCGCGTCGCACTGCTCGGTCTTCGTCACGAAGTATCGCCTTTGACGCGGGCCGCGACCCCGTCGAGCCAGTCTGCGAATGAGACGCTGTACTGTGTTGTGATCGTGCGCCGACCATGCTTCGTTTAGCTCTTGAACCAGCCCTTCCGTTCTCGCCTTTGCGATCTGCTTCGTCATGGTACGGATGCGGAAGGTCAAGCGTGCCAAGTCCAACTCGATCTCCTGCCAGTATCCGTGTCTGCCCGTATGCGTTCCCTTCAGTGCCTTTCGCTTCTCCAGTAAGTGAGATCTTTGCCTTTCCATGTCGGACTTCAGAGTTTCAGCCGAGGTGGGCTTGCTGAAGATCTCTCGAGCTTTGTTGACCAGGAATGTCGCCGTCGAGTTCCAGAGCTCGTCTGTGGTCGGTCTCGTGCATAACCGTATCCGTTCGCGCTCGTCGACTGACAGTAGTTCCGCCTGGAGGACGAGGAGGAGGACGGACGAGGAGGAAGGCGGAGGAGGGAGGAGGCTTAGGAGGAGGAGGGGGAGAAGGAGGAGGAGGAGGAGGAATATCATAGGGTAGTAGTTCGACCGCGGCGGTCGCGGCGATCGCCACCGGCACGCGCCGTGGTTTTCCGCTGGGTTTTCGTCTCCGCCGCCGCCGTCGACCGCGCATGCCACAGCCCTCGTGTGCCATCTCGATTACGCACCACACTTTCATGTCCCGCCGCCCGACCCGACCCGCCCTTTAGGGTCCGCCCAGCCGACCCGACCCGACCCGCCCGTCAGAGTCCGCCCGCCCGACCCGACCCGACCCGCCCGACAAGGCTCTCGCGTGCCATCTCGGTTATGCACCACACTTCTAATGCCCCGCCCGCCCGACCCGACCCGCTCGGTAGGGTCCGCCCGCCCGACCCGACCCGACCCGCCCGCTTGGGTCCGCCCGCCCGACCCGAACCGACCCGCCCGATAGGGCTCTCGCGTGCTCGCCCGTGTATACACCACACTTTAATGTCCCGCCCGCCCGCCCGACCCAACCAGCCCGTAAGGGTCCGTCCGTCCGACCTGACCCGACCCGCATGCCATGTCGATTACGCACCGCACTTCAATGTCCCGCCGCCCGACCCGACCCGCCCGCTAGGGTGCGCCCAGGCGCCCACCCGACCCGACCCGACCCTCTCGTTAGGGTCCGCCCACCCGACCCGACCCTACCCGCCCGTTAGGGTTCTCGCGTGCTCGCTCGTGTATGCGCCACATTTCAATGTCCCGCCCGCCCGACCCGACCCGTCCGCCAGGGTCCGCCCGCCCGGCCCGACCCGGCGCGTCCGTCAGGGTCCGCCCGCCCGACCCGACCCGACCCGCCCGTTTGGGTTTTCGCGTGCCATCCCGACTATGCACCACACTTGAATTTCCCGCCCGCCCGATCCGATCCGCCCGATAGGGTCCGCCCGCCCGACCCGACCCGATCCCCCTGTTAGGGTCCGCCCGACCCACCCGTCAGGGTTCTCGTCCCCTTCCTTCACTCCCTCCCTATCCTCCCTCCTTCCCGTCCTCGGACACCGAACGCTGGCGAAGCAAGCCCCGGCGAAGCGAGACTCCAGCGAAGCGAGACTCTGGCGAAGCGAACCCTGGCGAAGCGAGCCCCGGCGAAGCGAGACGGGCGAAGCGAGTGGGGCGGAGCGAGCCCGGGCGAAGCGAGCCCTGGCGAAGCGAGCCCGTGCCGCCCAAACAGGCCCCCGAGACGGTCCAAGAGACCTCCCAGGCGGCGCTGAAGCGCCCCAAGACGGCCACTTGAGATTCCCCAGACGGCCTCCGAAGGCGTCGGACGGGCCAAGAGCGGAGGAGGCCCTCCCTCAGGCGGCCGCCCGAGCGTGGTGTCGGAAGCGCGCGGCAGCGCAACTGGATATGGAGGCATGTTTTGCTTGCTTTCTGTCCTCCCTGCTTGCGGACAGGTTTGGACGCCCGAAGTGGGTACAGAAAAAATTGGTACGACAGGTTCGCGTCGTGTCGACCCCGGCGTTGGTTCCTGACACCGCGGGGATCGTTCAAACTTGAACGATCGGCCGTTCCATAAACGCCAGATCGTTCAACGACGGGCCGATTCTGGGCCACGGGCGGCGTTCAACCTTCCACGCACGCGCTGGGATCGCTGCCGGTCGACACGACGCGAACCTGTCCTGTCGTACAGAAACAATGGGTAGGACGCCCAACAGCAAATGTTGTCCAAAACCGACTGCGGCCGCTGTTGGGCGGGCGGCCGTCTGCCTCAAGTGGACCACGTCCGCAGCGACACCGACAGAACGGGCCCCGTTCGACACGATGAGGACATGCTGTCGGCCTTTGTGCCCGTCATTTCCTGCAGTCGGACCTAGGCCAGAAAAACCATCTCTCGAGAACATCAGACCCTCCGTCGGCCAAGAAAAACAAAACATCCAAGGTTACCCTCCCCAGGATGCACAAGAACATCCAACGGGCACGAAGAACACCAGGGCGCCCTCCCAGAACCGACCTCGATCTTACACCTCGGCCCGACTGTACCCATGCCGATCGTACCGAACAAAGGACGCACCCGACCACGCGAGACTGTCGTGGCGGGGCGTCCCTGAAAGTCCAGCGGCAGCCCGGCTCTCGCGACAGCTCGGCTCCCGCGACGGCCTGCCCCAGGGCCCCACCACCCTTGACGACGACTATGACGGCGATCCCGCATCCACGCAGACATCCCAAAAGCCAACGCGCCGCTGTGCGGGGGAGAAAATACCCGGCGGGAGGCGAGGAGAGAGCAAGAGCAACTGCCGTCGCGCTACCACGAGGAGCGCAAAAGAAAGAACGAAGGTGCTCTTCTCTGGCGGCGCAAACAAGGGGGTATGGGGGAGGGGGGAAGGCTTCTGAGAAGGAGGCCGTTTCTTAGAAGGCGCCGGCCTCACATTCTATACATGAGGCCCGCGCCTTCTCGGAAGCAGGGTTTCTTCTGAGAAGCCTTCCCCCCTCCCCCTACTCCTTGCTCCTGGCACCACCAGTCGAGTGAGGGATCGAATGCAGGGTTGATTTACCCAAAACTTTGTTTTTCGTCGACCCTACTGACAAGATGTTGAGAGTGCTCGTAGATCGACAGCCATTGTACTTACTTTTCGTAGATTCGAAAAACAAATGAAATTTGGGGTACATCAATTCTGGAGTCGACCCCCTACTCGAATCACCCGTTGCGCCCCCACCCCACCCGCGCCTAAGCAGTAGTCCCCGCCTGTCGCCGGGGCCCAAAAGTTGGTGGCGAGCCGGCGGTCGATGGGTGCGGCCTTGCGGCGGGGTCCCTCGTCGGGGCGGCGGCAGAGACAGGGGGTGAGGGAGGGAGGAAGGGAGACTGAAAAATCAGGAGAAGGAGAGGGAACAAGCGACTGAGCCAGGAGGAAGAGATTCGAGGGCGAAGGGCCTGAGAAGGACTGGGAGAGGGAGGGCGGACGAATTTGTTTTCATCCGCGATCCCGCTGGGCCTGAACGATTTGACTCAAGACAAATGGGAGCATGCGGTAACACGGCTGCTCCAAGTACGTCTCTACCGAGACTTGCTGGCAGTCCGTACTGCCGCCGCAACTTCGCGGGCCGCAACGCGCGCCTGGAGCGCCAACATTCCTGGGGTAGATATCACTCCAGAGATGGGCGCGGGCAAACTCACACCTCGAGGTGGGGGTTGCTGCGCAGCATGACAAAAACAACAATAACGCGCCTCGTATTTTCACCGTGGTTGCTTCACGATGCTGAAGGTACAATGCACTAAACATTCTTCGCAGAGTGGTGGGGGCGCCGGGCAGCGGACGCTGGAGGTATTCTTTGCCAAGCAAAGGGCACCGCGTGGAAGAACAGGCTGCACACGTGGTGCAGAAAAAGGAAATCAGCTGCTGCTCTCATTTCTCTACGATGCCATGGGCCTCGGAGTGTCCCAGGGAACGGTCCAGGACACCACGCCACTTTTTGCGGGGGGGCCTTACATATCCGAACATGTGTCGCGCCGAAGCGTCCGAGGAGTGCTGGAAGCAATGCAACCAACCCGCACGCCCAAGACCGAGTTCCTGCCAGGCGTACCAGCCTCCTGATTCTACAAACTTAGCCTTCGGACCCGTCGGCAAACGATCGAAATTCTCAGCGGGGAAAGCCGCCAGCACAGTGCCAGCAACCTTCGCCGCGAACATCAACAACTGACATTTCCTGTCCACCTCCTCTTTTTCTTGCACATTTGGTTGGGAGTGAAGGAAGAGAGCCTGCTTGGCCCAGACGTCCGCGTTCCAGCTACCTACTCCGATACTTCTCTTTGGTGCGGGTCGTGCGTCCAAGACCTCACGATTATGGTGCGCATGAGTGTGATGCAGAGGTGGGATGGGATCTCCTTCGTGCAACACAGCTCAACCCCGAATACCAGCATATATTACGGACAACCTGAGACTGTTTGGAGGCGCGGCACAAATAGACCACGCTCATGCAATCGGAATATCGATCACCTCCTCGCTTCGGGAACATTGGGAGCAACGCCATGCACAAGTGTTCAGCTTGCGAGGTCGGAGGAAGCACGTCAATAACCGTTTTCGCTTACGCAATGGTCGTATCTCCGAGGCCAAGAAAAACCCAGGAAGATGCAGCCTGGGAAAAACTCAGGAATCATGCGGCGAGAGGCAACCGGCCCGTCCACAATCACCTGACATCCAGAAGGATCGATTGAACCTCAATCATTTATCTCCCTTACGGAGGCTTAGAGGATGGGGTTGGGAGCGGAAGCGGGTGGGGGATAGGCGTCCTCAGGGCGTTCCCATTTTAGCTCATCAGAAACATCATAAGATTCCCTTCGAAGCCTCGGCGAAACATTCAGCAAGGGCGTCATCTGCAACGCTCCTCCGTGCTGCAACGGCCTCTGGGTGTTAAAATTGCCAAAGTCAAACGCGATCGGGGAGACCGCAAAGTGGGCACAAGCCGTCGCCCTGATATCCAGCTGACTGGGTGCGCGAGCGGGTCCAAATACCCTTGGAGAAGCACTTAACGACATGCATGTTCGGCGCGGGGTCAGGCGGCGCCCTCTTGGGCCCAGAACTTTCTTGGAAGGGGCCACGTAAAACCGAGCGCCATTGACCCCCGAGGCGCCCTGGCGCACGACTCGCCCACGCTTGCATTTGACAGCGATCTGCAGCGCGTGCGCAATCAGATGGCGAGGTGCATCCATGATGCACTTCGCGATCGTAATCATCATGAAAGGTAAAGGGGTATCGAACAGCCGACCCGCTCTGGCCAAGGACAGGTGCATTCGCCGCAAAGGCCTGCGAAAAGAGCGCCAAGTGACCGCGTCATCATATCTTACAGCTTGCCACATGTTGGGGTATTTCCTCAATGCTGCACTGGGAGATCGAGGGGGAGGCGAGGGCCAGCCAAGCGATCGTGGCCCACTGTAAGGCTGGCGCGACAGACGGTCGCGCAGCCTTACAGTGGGTCGCGCGACAGACGGTCGCGCGCGACAGACGGTCGCGCGTGCCAGCTCGATGACGCATCATGCTTTAACGCCCTGCCCGCCCGACTGGACACGCCCGTTCAGATCCGCCCGACCAGCCGGGCCCACCCGCAAGGGTTTTCATGTGCCAACTCGATGAAGTATCATTGTTTAATGTCCCGCCCGCCCGACAGGACCCGCACGTCGGGGCCTTCGCGCGCCAACTCGATGATGCATCATGATTTGATGCCCCGCCAGCCCGACCCGATTCGTCCGTTAGGGTTCGCCTGTTCCATCAAATTCGCAAGCACAATGATGCATCATGTTTTAGGGCTTTCGCGTTCCATCTCGATGATGCATCTTACTTTAATGTCCCGCCCGCCCGACCCGACCCGTCCGTTAGGGTCCGCCCGCCCAACCTGGCTCACCCGCTAGGGCTTGCGCGCGCCCACTGGATGCCGGCCGCATCGCGATTTAATGCCCAGCCCGCCTGGCCCGACTCGACCGCTGGGTCCGCCCACCCGACCAGTCCCGCCAGCTAGGTGTCTAGCGTGCCAATTAGATGATGCATCATACTTTAATGTCCCGCCCGCCCGACTCGACCCGCCCGCCATCGCTTCCGCGTGCCAGCTCGATGACGCATCACGCTTAAATTCCCCGCCCGCCCGACTGAGCCCGCCCGTTCAGGCCCGCCCGACCAACCGGGCCCACCCGCCAGGGCTTTCGCGTGCCAACTCGATGGTGCATCATTGTTTAATGCCCCGCCCGCCCGACCGGACCCGCACGTCGGGGCCTTCGCGCGCCGACTCGATGATACATCGTGATTTGATGCCCCGCCAGCCCGACCCGACTCGTCCGTTAGGGTTCGCCTGTTCCACCAGATTCGCAAGCGTGCCGTCTCGATGATGCATCGTACTTTAATGTCCCGCCCGCCCGACCCGACCCGTCCGTTAGGGTCCGCCCGCCCAATCTAGCTCGCCCGTTAGTGCTTACGCGCGCCCACTCGATGCCGCATCATAATTTAATGCCCAGCCCGCCCGGCCCGACTCGCCCGCTGGGTCCGCCCACCCGACCGACCAGCCCCGCCAGCTAGGGGCCTAGCGTGCCAATTCGATGATGCATCATACTTCAATGTCCCGCCCGCCCGACTCGACCCGCCCGCCATCGCTTCCGCGTGCCAGCTCGATGACGCATCATGCTTTAATGCCCTGCCCGCCCGACTGGACACGCCCGTTCAGATCCGCCCGACCAGCCGGGCCCACCCGCAAGGGTTTTCATGTGCCAACTCGATGAAGTATCATTGTTTAATGTCCCGCCCGCCCGACAGGACCCGCACGTCGGGGCCTTCGCGCGCCGACTCGATGACGCATCATGATGTGATGTCCCGCCAGCCCGACCCGATTCGTCCTTCAACAATTACGCATCATACTTTAATGTCCCGCCCGCCCGACCCGACCCGCGCGCCGGCGCTTCTGCGTGCCAGCCCGAAGACGCACCATACTTTAATGTCCGCCCGCCCGACCCGACCCTACTGGCCATGTTGGCCCTGCCGGCGCTGCCGGCCCTGCCGGCCGCATTCGCCCCCCACCGGCCCTATTGGCCCTACCGGCCGTAACGGCCCTGCCAGCCCTGGCGCCCCTGCTGGATCCTACCGGCCCTGCGGGCGCTACCAGACCCTACCGGCCGGCCCTACCGACCCTGTCGGCCCTGCCTGCCGGGCCCGCGCGTTCCAACTCGATGATGGAACGAACCGCCGATGAGGGTCTGCCCACCCGACCCGACCCGCCCGATAGGGCTCTCGCGTGCCATTTCGATGTCCCGCCCGCTTAACCCGACACGCCCGTCAGGGTCCGCCTGGCCCGCTTGTCAACTCGATCATGCATCATTGCCCAACCCGGCCCGCCCGATGGGGCTCTCGCGTGCCATCTCGAGGATGCATCTACTTTAATGCCCCGCTCGCCCGACCTGAACCGTCCGTTAACGGCCAATCTGGCTCGCCCGTTAGGACTTTCGCGCGCCAGCTCGATGCCGCATCATCATTTAATGCCCAGCCCGCCCGGCCCGACTCGCCCGCTGGGTCCGCCCACCCGACCAGTCTCGCCCGCTAGGGGTCTAGCTTGCCAATTCGATGCGTCATACTTTAGTCCCGCCCGCACGATTCGACCCGCCCGTCATCGGTTCCGCGTGCCAATTCGACGGCGCACCATTGTTTTATCCCCCGCCCGCCCGAACGGATTCGCCCGTTAGAGTCCGTCCGACAAACGGGACCCACCCGCCAGCGCTTTCGCGCGCCAATTCGATGACGCATCACTGTTAATGTCTCACCCGCCCGACCGGGCCTGCTGGCCCTGCCGGCCCTGCCCAGCCGGCTCTGCCAGACCTGCCGGCCTTGCCGGCCCTGCCGTGCCTGCCAGCCCTATACCCGCCCTGCCAGCCCTGCCGGTCCTGCCGGCCCTACCGGCCTTGCCGGCCCTGCCGGCGCTGCCGGCGCTGCCGGCCCTGCCGGCCCTCGAGACCCTGCCGGCCCTGCCGGCCTTGCCGGCCCTGCCGGCCCTGCCCGCCCTGCCAGCTTTGCCAGCCCTGCAGACTTGAATTACCATGCAGCCCTATCAGCCGCTTTGCCGGCTTTACCGGCCCTGCCGGCCCTGCCGGCCCTGCCGGCCCTGCCGGCCCCGCCGGCCCTGCTTGCTTTGCCGGGCATGCCAGCCTTGGCCCTGCCGGCGCTGCCGGCCCTGCCGGCCTCATCACCGGCTCTCCTGGCCGCTGCGCGGTCATCTGTCGGCCTTGCCGGCCCTGCCGGCCCTGCAGCTGGCACTGCCGGCCCTGCCG